TCACATACATTGCAATTCAGGTATAAATTCACAGATCCTGTTGTGTCAAACCTTTGGGTAGTAATTTTTATTTGTGTTTTTTTACATACATTGTACTTTAAGCACGAATTAACATATCCTGTTATGTACCACTGCCAAACAACACCCCAATATGTGTTTAGCAACATCTCCTGAGTACAGTGATACCAACCATGCATATGTTTGCTGGGTTGTTTGGGGGCTAAAAGGCCATGATAGAGACTTGTACATGTCAGTTTTTCAACTTGATTTATGTATTTTTGCATCCCCCAGTTAGTGTTTATATCATGAAAGCATATATATTTTTTTTATCAAGTAGACATTCCAAGGTATTGTATATGGGGTATTTTAACATCATTCCCCCAACCATTGTGCTAAAAAAATTCAGAGAACGTGCATGGTGATTCATTTTTGAATTCTGCTTTTTGATTTTAGCCATCAGGTTATATGTTACTGCCAGAAATTACCCCATTTTTTTTTTCTGCAAAGTCCCCTGAGTACACCTATGCCCCCCATGCATTGGTTTGCCATGATTTTACAGGAACAAATTTTGGACTTGCCCATTTTTGCTGAATATAGTTTGCTTGCTTTGCTAGGCACATGTTGAGTGTGGTGCATTTTTCCATCCCCCGAGTTGAATTTATGGTTTGAAAGTATATATTTGTATAAAGTAGACATCCAAGGTTTTGACTTCTTTTACCCAACCATTCTGCCCAAAAAAATTCAGAGAAAGTGTGTGGTGGTAATTTTTGAATTCTGTTTTTTATACACACATTGCTTTTAGATTTCTGCCAGAAAACATTTTAACTTTTTTAACCAAATGTGCAGGTATCAAATGCACCTTTAGCAGCAATCTCTTAACAAACTCCTACAAAAAGAATCTAACTGGGGGTTTGGGGGAAGGAAACTGACTAACTAAAATTTTCTGCTTTCAAAAGAAACAAAAAAAATTCAAATGCGTAGCACCAATTCTGGATTCCTCTGGCACCATTGTTGGAACTTAACCCTCTCCATAAATGATTGTGGAAATTGGAGAAAGGTGTTTTTTCCAGGATTCATTTAAAAAAATAAATAAAACTGAATTGTGGGTTGCTACTTGCATCAGATAGCCACCTTTTTATATCAAGCTTTTGTTTTTCTTAAAAAAGGATATGGCCGCATCAGCTGATCAGCCAAATCTACACCCCCATGTGCCTGATACAAACAGGTTTGGTCTGTACTCTGCCTCGGACAGTGACGTCTGACATGCTTTCATCATGGATGGTGGTTAGCATGTTAACATCCTTCCTGTCCTTAAATTTTATTGCAAGCACTTCAGCTTTGCGCAGAGCTTTACATACACCTTTTTTTAATTTGGCCTCTTTGAGATAATTCTTTTTCTTGCAGTGCCGCAGGCCAGTGCCTGCAAACTATAAAGCATTTTAAACAAATGGACACTGCTATAAAAAATTGGCAACATAAAGGTGGTAACTTTTATTGAACAAGGGGATCAGTAGGTCCCAAACATTTTTCCTACTTGTCCCCAGAGAGTCAGGACAGCCAGGAGGGTCCAGTTGACCATCTTTCCCCTCATATACACGAAAGGCAAGCGTATAGCCACTTTCGCTCTCACACAGTTTGTACAATTTGACGCCATACCTAGCACACTTTGAGGGGATGTATTGTTTGAATCCTAATCTCCCTTTGTATTTCTGTAAAATTCATCAATGGATACATTTTGTTGGAGTATAAACTTCTGAAAATTTGTGCTAAAGATGGTCTACCAGTGGGTGTATTTTATAAGGCCTATCATATTGGGGGTGATCTCTGGGGTGACA